CGCCCCCATCTTGCCACTGCAGTCCTCGAGGCCCCACCCAGCAGGGCAGAAACACCAGTGGAAGGAAGGCTGTGGGGCCAGAGGGGGTCTGTTTTATTCTGAGCGCAAGGCCTGGGTGGGCACAGAGGAGACATGTGACCCGGCCTGAGGCCATCGGGGAGGCTTCCTAGAGGAGGTGTTGCCCAGACAGTCCTGAGTCAGGAGTGGGCACAGGGTGGCTTTTGGTCAGAAGACAGAGAGTCTGGCTCCAAGAACTCATGGGGCCACGAGAGTTGGCTGTGGGCGTGGGCTCTGGTCCCGGATTCTCTCTGATCCCCCCTAGGAACTGCCTAGGTGGGGTGGGGTGGGGTGGGGAAGGGCCCCTCAGGATCCATTGGCTCCAACCTTAGTGGTGAACGGGGCAGTATGTCTTCAGGACAAGTGGGAAAACTGAGGCTCTGGGCATTGGATGGCATATCTGAGTCTCCCTGTTTACCGGTGGCAACATGAAGGCCTGTTCCAGGCACCGCCCAAAGGACCCACCACCGGGGGACCCTTCACTCAGGGAGAAGCTGTGCATTTGAGACGGCACCGTGAGTGCAGGACTGGGAGCCAGGAACGGAGAACTGAGCCTGTTTTTGCCAAAGACTTGCTGTGTGACTTTGGGAGAATCTTTCCTCCTCTCTGAACCTCAGTTTGCTGCTTTGTACAATGGGGATTAGAATTCATGGTTGGAGAACCCCACCAGCTCAGACAATCTGAGGGATGGGTCACTGCTACCTGGGGGAAGGGAAGCCTGAGGAAGGAGGAGGTGGCATGTCAGCTGGGCCCTGAAGGACGGGTGGCAGAGGCAAGAAGAAAGGGAGTGTTGTGAGCCGAGGCAATAAGAGGGGAAAGCCAGAGAGCCTTAAAAAAAAATGCAGAACATTCATTGAGCATCTTAGCACCAGGCAGACACTGTCTCTAATCCACTCACTCCCATTCGACAGATGAGGAAAGATGACAGGACTTGCCCAAGATTCACAGAACTGGGTTTTGAACCTACATCTGACCAGCAGTTGTGACCAAGACCCAGGGGTCCATCAGCCTCAGAATCTGGTCCGAATTATCAGGTGAAATTCAGCCGCCAGGCTCCACACTTTGGCATCCGCTTCCTAACTCTGACAAGGGCAGCCAGTTCCTCCCACCTCCCCCGAAAGTGGCAGCGCTCACTGGTGAGAGGTTCTTGCTCCCTCTCCTAACTCTGCGAGTGAAAACATCCTATCGGCACCAGAAACTGGTAGGTGACCCGCCTTGAGTCTATGATGATGATGCAATAACAAACTCTAATAAATACAGAGTCCTTGGTTTGTGGCAGGCACTGAGCCAAACCTTTTACACCAGTGGTTCTCAACCTTCCTAATGCCGCGACCCTTTCATACAGTTCCTCATGTTGTGGTGACCCCCAAATTCATTGTTACAAATTGAACATAATTAAAGCATAGTGATTAATCACAAAAACAATATGTAATTATATATCTGTTTTCTGATGGTTTTAGGCGACCCCTGTGAAAGGGTCTTTTGACCCCCAAAGGGGTCGCGACCCACAGATTGAGAACCGCTGCTTTACACTCATTTCTCATGTTCCCACCATCGTGCTAAGGAGCAGGTGTGATCACTGTGATGCCCATTTCTAGGTGGGAAGACTGAGGCTCAGAGAGGTTAAGAGTGAGTTACATTTGCACCCAGTTCTAGAGGGCTCTAGAGTGGAAGCCGATAATTTCTAGAACTTGCTCCTGCAGCTCCTCTTCCCGATCCCCCACCCCCACCTCCTCCCTCCAGCCACCCAGACCCCCAATCTCCACATTAGCATCCCCGCTGAGTTTAGGACATAAAATCCATGTCTCCTCTTTGACTTCCTCCTGTCCCTGAGCCCTCCTCCCTGCCACGTAACTCCTCACAGCCAGCCCCTGGGGAGGCAGGTATAATTATAGATTTTTGAGGACACAATTGTGTTCTCCAGCCCCAGGGCCCAAGCAGGGCTGGGCTTGCTGGGAAGACAATTAAAACCACTGTCCGCAAATTAGGGTTCTGCAGGAAAAGGAGGAGGAGGCTTGATTGTATCTTCCTTTCTGCTTTTAATTGGGGTGGGGGGGAGGGGTGGTACTTAATACCGCCATACCAGTTATTAGGGCATCACCTGCAGGAAAGAGCTTGTGGCCCTAGTGCAGCCCCTCAGTTTGGCTTCTGGAAAGGCAGGGGTGACCTGGAAGAGCTTACCCGCCCTTCAAGAGCAGGGGCCTGACCTTCTTCCGAACCTTTCAGACCCTGGAATACCTAGGGCTTTGCCTTCAGGTCCGGGTTCAAATCCTGTTTCCTCTACCCCATAGCTGTGTGACCGGACAAGCCTGTCTACCTTCCTGAGCCTTGGATTCTTTATCTCACAGAGAATGAGGGGATGCAGGGGAGGATTACACAAGGCAACATATGCCTCATGCACATAGTAGGTGCTCAAGAAACAACACTGCTTTCTCTCACCTTCTAGCTCAAAATTCTCTCCCAAGATTTTAAAGATGCTTCTTTGTAGCCTCATTAGATTATGCAGGGGACACAACATCTGTATTTCATTCACACCCGGCCCCACGACTTCTCATCATCAGTCTTATATCTCCTCTGCTTCCTCATTTCTCCTCCAAGCAACCAGTAGACCCCAAAAAGGGGTTTGTCCGACAAAGGCAGTCCCAGCCCAAGCCCCAGCTCCCTCTGTCTCTGAGTTCAGATTCTCCATCCCAGACCCTCTGGTTCAGTCTCAAGTCTCCTTTCCCTCTGCACAGTCTTCCCTGCTGTTCCATTCTTCAAAGCTCTGGTTTGAGGCTGCTTCCTCCAGGAAGCCTGCAGGAATTAGACCCCAGCCCACTCATCAATCTCTGCCAGAGTGAGAGCAGGGGGACTGGTGGTGGGGGCAGCACCTGGGCAGGGGAACCCAGGCGGAGCTGGAGTGTGAGAGAAGCAAAGGAAGAGAGCGGAGAGAACCAGTGTGGGTGGCCCTGCGGGCCCTTGGTTACCTCTCTGACCAGGCCCTCCTTGGTGTCCCCCGCGTCTCCGAGTCCTCCCCTCCCTGCCCCACTAGAATGCGTTAGAGGAAGATACTGAATGTCTGTGTCTCCCCCATCCTGAGAGCTTCCCCAGGACAGGGCCCCTGCATTGTCCAGCATGGAGCAGGCACGAGGAGGTCCTATTAGGCATTTGCTGAATAAGTAAAGAAATAGCCCGGCTGCATGGCTCAGTGGTTGAGTGTCGACCTCTGAGCCAGGAGGTCATGGTTCGATTCCCAGTCAGGGCACATGCCCGGGTTGTAGGCTCAATCCCCAGTGTGGGTCATGCAGGAGGCTGCCGATCAATGATTCTCTCTCATCATTGATGTTTCTATCTCTCTCTCTCCATTTCTCTCTGAAATAAATAATAAAAATATATATTTTAAAAATAAAGAAAGTGAGAAAGGTCAGACAGAAACCCAGAGAACTTAAGTTAGAGACTGTAAGAGAAAGAAAACAAAGAAGATAGACATCATTCATTCATACAGTCGTTCATTCGTGCAACATTTATTGGGCACCTACTATTTGCCAGTCTAGTTTTCGGGGAGACTGCACTCCGAAGAGGAGGGATGGGGACAGACACATGGGCACAGGCAGCCTGATCAGGCCCCAGCAGGACAGCCCCTCCTCAGCCTCCCTCCTTGTGGCCCTCACGACCATTGGTGCCCAAGCCGAGGGGGTGCCCGGCCAAACGGATCGGCAAGCTGGCAGCTCCCCCAAGGGCCCATAAAGTTGCTATGTGAAGTGCAACCAAGAATGCAATGGGAATGAACAAATGCCGGCCGTGCAGGAAGGGCCGGGGCTCCTTTGCTGGCAGCTCCCCACCCTGACCAACCTTGAGGTCCAGGACCAGCCCCATCAACCCTGTGGGTCATCTTCTGAGAGAGGCCCACAAACCAGAAAGTTGATGTGCCTCATCCCACAAAACCCTCGCAGCAACCCGCCGAGCAGGGATCACTGCCCCTTTACTCCAGGAGGAGAAACGGAGGCTCAGAGAGCTGGGGGCCAGCGTGGCCAGTCCCCTGACCCCGAGTCAGCAGAAGGAAACCCGCCTCTGTGCCAGACACAGTACACGGGACCCACTTCATCCTCCCAAAGACCTTAGGAGGTGGCTCTACTTTAAAAACGTGTTTTATTTCTTTTTTAAGAGAAAGAAAGGGAGAGGGAAGGGGAGAGAGACATCAATGTGAGAGGGAAACAGCGATCCATTGCCTCCTTCCTGCACCCCAAACAGGATTTGAACCGAAACCTGGGTGTGTGGCCTGACCGGGAATGGAGACGGCGGCCTTTTCAGAGCACGCACGAGATGACACTCAACCAACTGAGCCACACCGGCCAGGGCCAGTGGTTCCATTCATTGTCAGCCCCACTTCACAGGAGGCTCAGCGAGGATGTGTTGGTGCCTGACGTACACAGCACGAAGGAACAAAGCCAGATTTCAGCCCCAACGTGGACCACAAAGTTTCCCAGCCAAAACCTGAGTCCTCTCTAAGCTCCTGCTCCGCTTCAGCTGTAAAAAGTGTGACGCTGTGGGGGCCATTTCCAGAGAGCCTGCCTGCTCTGTGCCCAGTGCAGCTGGGTGCTGGGGCTGGAAGCGTGTGTGGCCACCTTAACTCCCGGTGGGAGGCAGGGTAGGGGGAAAGGGCCACAGAGGGAGTGTTCAGTGACACCTAGCTCACCGTGAATCTCACTGCACCCCTGAAATCAGGAGATGGAAATGTCCATTAGAGAAGGACCTAGATAAGCAGATGGATACCCCCCAAGGACTGAGAAGGCGGGCCTCCCCTCATCCCCAGGGATGGGTGCCGAGTGACTGCACTGGGATGGGCCAGGGGAGGCACTGAGCGTTCTCTTTGTTCCCTCCTGGGCCCTGGCAGGCCGCCTGCAGCAAGAGGAATCGAGGTTGTGAGTCGATGAAAGGTTGTTTCATCTTGGAGTGGACAAATTTCCTCTTCTCCAGAAGTGGAGAGGGAGGTATCTTGTACAAAAGCTTACAGAATTGCAGTGCTGAGTGGAGACACGCTGGTCTCCGCATGCAGTAGAAGCTCGGGGAATGACCCCCCACTGGGCCTGGCTCCATGCTGCTGGGCTTCCAAAAGGCTCAGACCAGGCCCTGCCCCTCCAGGAGCCCACAGTCCACAGGAGACATACGCCATGGACTGTTGTATGGACAATAAATGTACAGTTGTCCAGAGTGTGCACTAGTCACATAGCTGTGCAAAGTGCAGTGCTAGGAGGGGTCAAGGCCAGCCTATGTGTGCCTGGAGAGTCAGGGAAGGCTTCTCGGAGGAGGGGGCATGCTTGAACTTGAGTGGGGTTTGAACAATCAGGAGGAGCTCAGAACAACTAAGGACATACCAGAGAGAGGGCTTCCCAAGTTCAACCTTTTGGGGACCACCCTCACGGTCTCTGCAGAGTTCCTGTACCACCTGCACTGTCATTTACTTGATGTTTATTTTCAAAGCCTCTCCCTTTTTACTTGAAAAAATTCAGCTTAAAAGGAGACTTTTATTACTGCCATAAACAGAAAATCAGCATCATCTGCCATAAATAGAGGGTAAGTGTAAAAATAAACACGATGAAAACCAAACAGCGTTTGTAAATTCTAGCCAGGAAGGGTTGTTTATCGGAGGCTACAAGCCTCCATCTCCATTTCTCTCATTAACAAGGGAGACAGGCGAGAGCGAGGTGTCAAATTCAAAGCAGCACCGAGCAGAGACGTTCTTCTTGAGGAGAAAGGGTTTGGATGCAGGTCCTGTGGAAGGCGGACACCAACGGGCAGCCCCCTCCACCACCATCCACGCC